GGAACTGCAAAGCCAAGGGCCAGAGCCAGCGCAGTGGAGGTCACCGGAAGGGCTCTTGGCATGGAGAATGCCAGCCTTCTCCCAGCCCAGCAAAGCGCTTTGACTGTTATGCCTCCTTTCTCTACCTTCCATACCCCTAGCCTAGACCCAACCCTAGGAGGAAGTGGCACTGTGCAGAAGTGACTAAATGTTAGCAGACCTTCCTGTCCCTCGCTGAAGCAGGGGCGCTCCTGGGATCAAGGACTGATGTAGTTCACAGCAATGGAGGCCCACTGCTGTTTACTGCTTATGTCAACTGTGGCTGAAACAAGCAAGGCTGTCCCAGCCACGTGCTGGAGCGGAGCTGCTAGACGCAAGAGCTCAGAAGGAAATGAACAGTGGGCGGTAAGCAGTGCCCTTAGCTCCATCTTACCTTCCCCTCTATTTGGCTCTGGGCATCCCTTGTGAAGTCTGTGGGAATAGAAGGCTATGTGGGCCTGTAAACAGGGACCCTGGACGCAGAGCCTGGAAGCTGCCGCACCAGCAAATTCTATGGCCCAAGGACATCACTGAGGCAACAGGGGTCCCAGTGGGAGTCAGAAACCCAGGTCGTATGATTTCAAGGCTTTTCCCCTGAGATGTACTGCTCTCCCCCGCCTCTTAGCCAAGGTGCCCCTCTCCTCCTGGTTTCCGGCACCTGGAACCCTGTATTCTCCTAGCATTAAGAACCATCTCCAAAAAGCAACACATGAAACCAGTTTTAAACCAACTTTAATCTTTTTTTTTTTTTTGCTGCCCAAATACTGTACATGCAGAAGCCATGTGAAGAATTTTCTCCTCAAGGGAATTGGCAAGAACGTTGTACGAACGGCTGGCAAGTCCTTCCCAGCTGTCCACCTGCCCCCCCGGAAGCCACAGCCAGTTTGGGAAGATGCTGCACATACAAAATGTACAGGAGCACAGATATAAAAGGCGAATTGCTTCTTATCTAAACAGTGTGCTTGTCAGTCCCTATCAGCTCTCTCTCTCTTTGCAGGATGCATTTGGATATTCTAGAAAAAGGGTTCCTTCCGCCTATGACTCTACATTCTAAAGGAGCAGATAGAACAATCAGGCCAACTTTCCCCAAGGAAGCAGCCACTCAGCCTGCGGAGATGCCTCCGGGTAAAAGACATTCTGGAGAGAGGCGTGGTTTTAAGAAGCAAAATACTTGGATAGGACGTTCCCTCTCTCCTCCCATCAGAGAGCATTTCCTTTAAAATTCTCCCATGTTCGACTCTCCCACCGATGTCATTCTAGAAGCAGCAATGAGGACCAACTGCTGGTGGGGACACTAACCTACACAGGATGCAGCTAAGGTTGTAACATCACATCAGCACCTTGAAAATTGTCCGTTGTGGACACCTCTTAATCATTTCTCATCGTTACACAAGAATAAGAAGGAATGAACCACAAAGAGGCGGGAGCAGTCTGTTAGGGTTCCCAGAGTTCTAGTCAGAAGCAGCATCTGGGTGTGGACGGATGAGAACCTGCACCCGGCTTGGGTACCCACGGCTGGAAGAAACCAGTCCGTGGAACCAGGTGCACCAGGCTCAACCCTCATCAGCTCCAGATCAGACTTTCAAAACCTGGAGGGAACCATGCAGCAACTAGCAAATGCTCTGATTTTGCAGATGAGAAAGCTGAGGCCCAGAAAAGTGAGAAGTCTTGCGCATGGTCGCAGTTTCTGGCAAACTTTCTATAACAGCCTTTGGTGCTCTATAGCCAGCTGTCCAGGCCATTGACCGATGGGGTCGATGCTCTGTTTGCCCCTGGAGTTCCCAGGGCTCATTTGTTAGCCCAGCGCTCTGGAGCCCAGTCCCACAGGTCCTTCCTGGCGTTGGGGTGAACTCCTTGTTAGGCCCAAGGCCCCTGTCCTTACTGGCCAAGCTTCCAGCCAGAGAGAGCGCTGGAAGGTTTTACCAAAGCACTTACGCTTCTCAATGAGCAGTCTAGGCCCCTGAGAGAATGCAATTTCTCTCTCTGCTGTGGTTTCCCTCACAGGCACAGCCGTGCTGGGCCCACAAAAGCCCAAGCTAGGGGTGGGGGTGGGGGTGGGGGAGTTGCTTTGCTACATGGAAAGATTAAGCCCTTTTGTCAGAGAACAAGGTCCCACCGTCAGGCAGACCAGCACAGAGCTGGTGCCCAAGGGGGCCAAGTTGCTCTCTTTGGCATCACTGACATTGCTCTGAGATGCTCAGGCACTCTTTCAAATAACCCTTTCCCAGCCAGACCAGGTCCATGCAGCCCCGATCAGGCCTCACCTGATGGGGCAGGGCTCCCCTGCCCGTCAATTATTGTTTTGTTTTGCCCCGATCTCTTCTGACCTGAGTGAAAGCAGACTTGAGGGAGAAGGCAGGGGACAATGAGTCCGCATTCCAATCTCCTCCCTGATCATCCAGTGAAAGATAACGCAGTACAGGAAGCAGCATTTTAAAGACCCTCTTTACGTGTCAGGATATTGGAGAAGAGGATGCAGAGGAGGGGGTGAGCAAGGGAGGGGTCAGCAGGGCAGCGGGCCTCTTCTTACCCACCTCCTTGCAGTCACTGCAGGACCACCCCTTGGCCCTGAATGACGCGCCATCTCCCTCCCCTCAGGTGGCGGACAACTCATTACAATGTCAAGCAAAGGCAGCAATTTCTTGCAGAGTTTGCACAGTGCGGGGAGCAATCAGAGAAATAGAACAGCAGCCTCACTGAAGCCGTGCTGCTTTCTGGGCCGAGGGAGACGGGGGATCAGAGGTATTAGGAGCTCTGGAGCCCCAGGGGAGGAGCACAGGTCTCCCGGGCAGCAAGGTGAAGAGCAAGAACCCTGGTTGGGTGTCAGGGCTCCTCGTAACGCAGTCTAAGATTGTGCTACATTTCATTTCCAAAGAAGTTCTCTTGGAGGGTTCTATTGTCTTTAAAAGGGGGTGCTCTGCTCTCCTCAAGGCTGGCAGTGAAGAAGAGCTGGGGCAGGCTTGCCCTGGTGGGTGCCACGCCCCGGGGAGGACTGGCTTGACCTCAGCGCCATAACGGGCAGTGACCCCACGAGTGATGAGCGGCTCTCTCTGGAGCTCCTAGGTTCTGCCTCGGGCAGTCCTGGCCACGCCTGGGGCTTGCTGCACATGGCGGCCTCCCAAGGGTGCCTTTCCTAGGAGAGCTGGTGGTGGAACTGCCTGGATGGGGAGTCATTGTGGAGACAGGTCTTTCCTGCAGGGTCACATCCCCCTGGTCAAACCATGGCGTGGCCCATTCGCGGAGCCTGATTCATCCCGAAGGCCCATCACGGACTCCCTGTAGGGAAGCCATCTCTGAAGGGAGCGGGACGGAGTCAGCAGAGCAGAAATGTGAAGACAGCACTCTGAGTCATTCATCACGGTTCCTGCCCATAGCCCAGCATCGCTGCAGGGCCTTTCTGTCTCCGCCACGTCCCCACGATCCTGCCTGAGCAGGGGGAGATGGAGTGACAGAGCCCTCGTCTGAGATCAGCTCCGGGCTTCACCTGGGCTAAGGGGGTGGGGGAGGGGCGGTTGGGGCCAGGATACTGTCCCTGGCAGTGAGTTGGTCCCAGGTTGGGGAGAACTCTGGGGGATCTTGTTCCTTCCGCCCCCACCATCCCCTCTGAAAGAACAGATGCTCCTCGCCCAGGGACGGCCCAGAGTCACACTTGAGCTCCCTCCTCTCCTGCTACGGGCTAATAGAGCTGCTTCTCAGACAGACCCCTGCACCCAGGGTGCAGACCCCAACATCCAGCCGGTCACCAACACACACACATCAGTCTCACATGACTCCACCCTCCTGGGGGCAACTCTAGGTGGGGATTAGTCACTTATTTGGTACAAAGGGTTAAAAAGAATCATCCCAAGGTCAACACAGGGTCAGGGGCGAGGGGGATCACTGCCCATTAGAGATGGAGCTGTGGAGTGGGCCAACCCCTGGGCAGCTTTGGCAGCTGGGGATTGCAGGCAGCTCAGCCCGTTATCAACACATTAGGCCCCACCTCTGGCTGGCACCTCCCCTGTGCTAACCCACCTGCTCCCCAGGCCAGGGGTACTGGCCTCCAGCTACCCAGCGGCAGGCAGCCTCTCTGCTGGCAGCTCACACCTTCTCTCACGTCTTTCTGGGCCCTTTGAGGAATGAGGGTGACATCCCCCCTTCCCTGGGGGTGGCTGCATGGCCATTTGGTGCCACATCAGCAGATGTCTACACTTTCGCCCATAAGCCCACCACCCTCATGTGTTTTCACACCATCCTGAGGGTGACCTCTCAAGGGGAGCACATCACAGACAGGACATAAAGTACCTCCGTGAGCGCAGGTCCTCCCTCTCCCCACCCTCAGATCAAAGAGCACAGAGCCCTTTGTTTCACTGTAGAAACATGAGAAATGCAGGCACCACCCAGTCCTGACAGTGGGAGAGAATTTCTGCAGAAAGAGAAAGTGGGACCCAGCTGCCCCTCCCTCTCTTCCACTCACCAGTGGTCTTCCACTCACCAAGGCCGATACAAGAATGGAGGCTCGGGGCCAGGCGCTTGTGTTTGTTTCTTTACTGCCCATATTACCTATTCTGTGTCTGTGGGCAGGAATGACGGGGTCCTGGTTCCCTCCCCTTGTGTTTTGGGAAAAAAGGTGGATCCTGCCCCAAAAGGAGGCCCCTTGGCGGAGATGGCGGTATCTCCAGAGAGCTTCCCTCCACCTCCCTCAGAACCCACCTCCATGCCCGCCCGCTCTGGTTACAGATGGAGACCAAGCACTCAGGCTGAGCCTGCACTGCCTCCTGGTACATGGTTGGAGTCACTGCGGCATTGGGGACCATGTCTGGGGAAGAGAGAGCCTGCCCCATACTGTGAGCCCCTGGCCACT